TTAGACTAGAACTAGTCAAGAAATAGAGTTTTTTAAAAGGGGTACTTTTAGTAAATTAGGTACTTAAGAAGATATAATAAGTAATTGTATCAGAAGGAAAATGATTCGTAGGGCCCACCTTGTCACCAAATGACCAAAACACCCAATTAAGCACACGAGAGGATGTTACATGTAGTCATGGAGATCGTATGGATGAAGTATGGTGGAAGGAGTAATCGAACGGTTGATATACATTTGACTCGGGAAGTGTGGATAAAGTTGTTTGGAGGAATGCTTCAAGGACAAGCACATGTTGCCTCCAAAGCGAAGATGTGACTCGTATTGGTGCGGATAAGACTATTTAGAGGAGTGCTCAGAGAACAAACACGAGTTGTCTCCGAGAGTGGGTGTCAACAGACGAAGTTTTATAGCTTTCTGAAAATGTGCTTTAGAGTGGCAAAGTTTGACCACATAGGCGAATATTTGGACTTTCTGGAAAAGTTTCAGAAACTTATATATCACTCATGGACGAGTTTGGATGGATCAAATGAAGTGTTTAGAGACTTTTGAATGAATTTTTTCCCCCAAAGATCTTCAAACCCAATCTAGCACAAAAGACTTAATCACTTTTCAGAGGAGAATTGCTTGGAGATTCAAGGGTGTGCTTGTTTGGTCACCTCTTAAAGTGTTGATCAATGGGGGTATTTATAAAAGGAGCTTTGGGGAATTGGAGAACGTGCAATATTTGACTAAATTTAGAGGCCTGAACGCACATTAGAGTAGCTCCAGAGTGCCGCCTTCCAAATTTTGCCAAACAGTTGTCTCTGGAGCACCTGATGGTTGATACATCCATCCTTCATGGAGCACATGAAGAATCTTCAGTTGTAGGGAAGTCTCTTGGAGCATGCATGGAAGATCTTTGTGGAGACGTTTGTGTAGAGACGTCCACAGTGACGCCTCCAGAGCAGTAATTGTCACAGAGACGAAATCTTGACCTGCTCCAGAACAGAAAAATTCATAATCTGTGTTGGAGGGGAAGATTCCACGGCTTAAATTCCAGACTTTTGAGCTTCTAAAAGTTGAGAAAATAATTTTTAGGACTCCTAAAAGACAAAACAAACGACTTTTAGGGTTGAATTCTCTATTACTTATTTATTTCTTAGCCTAATTATCTTAAAAATCTCCAAGCGGGACTTAAAATCGGATTGGACAAAAAGACAACGGGCATGTTTGATTACGCGAGTTCTTCGAGAGATAGAAAGCTATTGAGGAGAGAGTGTGTGACAAGGTGGAGATGCTGATTGAATCGTCGTTAGAGAAGACCAGCAACCTTGCAACTCGTGAATCGGTGTCAAAAATGAAGGCCGACCTTAAGAATGTCGTGTGTGTCGCTGACGTTCACAATGGAGTTCACTAAAGAAGATGACATGAGAAGAGGGGTTGGGGAATATTTTCGGGGTTTTAAGTTTTGTGTGTGTGTGTGTGTGTGTGTGTGTTTCTTATGTATTATTAGTTCTGTTTCATAATAATATAATCATTATCCTAATGAAAATGCATATTTTTGTGCATATTCGTTATGTTAGTGTAGTTCAAGAATACTTTCATTACTATAATCTTTAGGAATTTATGATAAAGAAATTATTAATTTCACGCATGGAATGTTCATTATTGTAATGATTTCTACCTTTTTTTTTTTTTTTTTTTTTTTTTTTTTTTTTTTTTTCTT